TGGATGGGAGGCGAGTGCCACGTGGGGCAAGCGCGCTGTCGTGGCGACATACGTCAGGCATGCGCCGGATGAGCTGGGAAGACAGGTCACGAAGCAGCTGACGCTTGGAGTTGATGACTGGGGAAACATCTGCCGTTTGGCAGGTTGCGTAAGCGGGCGTGACTCTTGATACTCGCGTTCCTAGATGACGCCTGAACGATACGAGGCCGTCCTCGGCCAAGGCGGATCCGAAAGAGTTTTATTTTTCAAATTTGATTTACTTTAATCCTATCAGCAAGCCAACAAGCTTCTGTCGGCGGTCATCCTTACCATGGTGAACAGTTGTCATGATGATTGATGAGGTACCCGTGTAGCCGTCGTGAGTTGGCTCCTGTTGGCCGCTGCTCAACCGGGGACACCCCAGCCAGGTCATCGCACCGAGGCCAATCATACAGCCGTCTCGCACGCGGCGCGAGTACGAGGCATTTAGCCACTACTAGGCCGCAGGGTGCCGGGGCCTGAGCCGCTGGGGTGCATATCAATGTCCGCCTGGACGCCATCCGCGAGGCACAGCCAGCTAGCAAGGCAGGCACACCACCATCCATTTCCATCCTCTTTGTATCGAAGGGTAGGCATGCTGCACGCAGGCCCTGATGCACCTGCGCTCTGCCCGGCTGCCTTTCCCGTTGACGGAGCATGGATGAACGGCGTTCACGCCACTCAGCGCGACGATCGCACAAGAAGGTCCGTACGGGGTGCAAGAATTGCAAAGCCAGAAAGGTCAAGGTCAGTTTGTCCACAACGAAGCTCTCGCACGCTCTTTTTCCGACGGCCCCGCATGTCGGGAAGCACGCCGAGTCATCTCAGCCACCACCCCTTGATTTTTGGGCTTCGTCTTCTCACCAAGATTGATTCATCAGTGCGACGAAAAGAAGCCCGAGTGTACGCAATGCCTCAAGTATGGCGTCCTTTGCGACTCAGATACTGCGGTCTCGGCGCCGGCAGAGCCCGAGCCCGAGCCGCCAACGTCCGAGCCCGAGATGGAGCTCGACATGTTGGACCTTGAGCTCATGTTCCATTGGAGCACCGAGACGTGCACGACGCTGACACGCAACCCAACGGTCAACAAGTTCTGGCAGATCAACGTGCCCAAAATCGGGTTCCGTTGCGACTACGTCATGCGTAGCATGCTGTCGCTGGCGGCGCTGCACATGGCGTACGTCTGTCCGTCGCGGGAGGCCGAGCTGCTCGAGAGGTCGGTGCGGCATCACGAAGTGGCCACGCGCGGCGTCGCCGCTGTCGTGACGAGTGTCGAACAGGTATCGCGGGCCGGCGATCAACAGCTGGCGGACGATCTCTTTCTCTTCTCCATCCTGACCATGTTTTATGGTACGTCCCTGCCTGCTGTTGCGCTGTGTGCCGTTGGAGACCTCTCACTAATGGTGCAGCCATGTCCAACTCACGCGATCCCGGCGATGTTCTCCTTGGGACCACCAGCCAGGGGCCAGACTGGATCCTGCTCTTCACAGGCACGCGCCATCTCGGCGGTGTCAGCAACTCGGGCCACCATCCCACGAGCCCTCTCTATCCTCTCATCCGCGTCGCCATCTTCCGGTGGACGCTGACGCAGAAGACGTACACGCACCCGTACCTCGACCCGCTGCGCGCGCGGCTCGCGGCCGCCACTCACATCCCCGCCGACGTCCGCGCCGTCTACGACAAGGCGGTGCACGCGCTGCACCAGTCGTTTGGTCTGTTTTACGTCGAGAAAGACGAGTTGCTCGAGGGGTCGATCGACCTGTTTATCTGGGTCGGCAACGTGATTGAGGACTTCCTGCCGATGCTCCGAGAGGAGGCGCCCCGTCAGGAGGCGCTCGTCATTTTCAGTTACTTCTGCATGCTGCCGAAGAAGCTGCCGCGGCAGTGGTGGCTGAACCGGTGGGCGGACAGTATCAAGATTCGGACGTATGAGCTGCTGGATGCCGAGCACCGGACGTGGGTTGTCGAGCCGACGATGATCGATGGAGGTGGATGAGATGGATAAGATGAATGATACCAGCATGTTTGTAGGATGGAGTGTTACAATTATGGGCAACTTGGAAATTTCGGGACTGGTGCTCCTAAAGAATCCCAAGGTACCTTAAGGTAGGTACCTCAGTGTTTGTGCCTGTGTCACAGGTCCCTCGCTCCTGCCTTCCTGCCGTGCTGCCCCTGGCCTCCTTTCCCTTTCTTCCATCTCCTCCTGCCTCCATCTTCTCCTTCCTTCCCCTCACCCATTCCCCCTCGTCTCCTTTCTCCATATTTGGCCCTCCTGCCAGCTCCTCCCGCTCTTGTAGGCTCATGTCCTTACCGTCACCAGTCCCATATGGTGTAGTGGCCAACATTACGGACTCTCAATCCGTAGCCCCGAGTTCGATCCTCGGTGTGGGAACCTTTTGCTGCTGGAAAGGGCCATGGTGTTTGTGGTAGTCCGGGAGTGGTGACCTTGGTGAGGCAGCATGAATCATACACTTGTGCGTCTGTTAGGTGCCGTGATCTTGGTCTCGAATCGGTGCTTAGCGGTCAAAGGGCTTAATCAATATGACCAACACAGACAGGCCATCGTTAAGTTCAATCGTCATGCTTGGGACTTAGGTGATGCATCACCTTGTCATTGTGGTCTGTCGATACCCTGAGATGTTCACAGAGAAGCCAGTCACGCCCATCGAGTCCACCCCTATCACGTTCGCTTGACGTATAGCGCAGCAGCAGCAATGCCCCTCGCACGTCAAAAAAAGCGAGCAATCATATAGCTTCCTCCACACTCCAACAGGGCACGAGCGAGCTTCCAGTCTGAAAGGGAAAAAGTCATATATGCATTGCGTGACTCCTATGCTACGTACACAGACAAGACAGAGACAGAGAGAGTGTCATACAACTACAATCTCCCGCGTCCCCGCCCCCGCCGCGCTCCCACGCCACACACGCGCGCGCCAATCTATCCAGGTAGGGTGTTGGGGAGGGACACACGAGGGCGTTGCATCGATCCCTCTTCCCTGGCGCACCACACACACACATACACACAGAGAGACACAAAGACGTAGCGCCTGTTGCGTGTCTCTCTTTTTCGTCGTCCTGCAAGCGATCTCGTCCGTCCTCGGGTCAGGAGAGCGAGTCTCCCCATGTCTGTCGCGCGTTGCTTCGAAGTTTCTATCACAGCCGAGGAAGAGAGAGAGAGAGAGAGAGAGAGAGAGAGAGAGATAATTCTTTTTGGTTGGCGGAGGGAGTATGACGGAGGGGGTATGAAGCAGGTCGATGGTTTAAAAATAGGGGTCGGGGAGGGCGAGAGGTATCATGGGTGCAGGATTCGTTTCAGGGAGGGAGAAAGGGGGCCGCCGGGAGGGGGAGGGGGACCGAAAGGGCGGGTTGGAACCATGTCCCGTTTAGAGGGTCTCCATCTTGTCGAGGATGGCGCGGGTGAACTCGTGGGTGGTGGACTCGCCGCCCATGTCGCGGGTGCGGACCTTGCTGTTGGAATTGTCAGTACAACCGTTTTTTTTGTATTTTTGTTTTTTTGTTTTTTTTTTCTGCGACCTTGCACAGAGAGGAAAACTTACCCGTCGGCAATGACGGCGTAGACGGCCTGGGAGATGCGGTTGGCGTGGTCGTCGAGGCCGAGGTGGCGCAGGAGCATGGAGCCGGACAGGATGAGGGCGGTGGGGTTGGCCTGGTCCTTGCCCTTGATGTCGAGACCGACGTGACGGCAGCCGGGCTCGAAGACGGCGACGTCGCGGCCCATGTTGCAGCCGGGGACGATGCCGGGGCCGCCGACGAGGGCAGCGCCAATGTTGGACAGGATGCCGCCGTAGAGGTTGGGCATGACCATGACATCGAACTGCTGGGGGCGGCCGACGGCCTGCATGGAGGCGTTGTCGACGATCATGTCGTTGACCTCGAGGCTGGGGTACTCCTTGGCGACCTGGTGGAAGGTGGAGCGGAAGAGGCCGTCGGCGAGCTTCATAATGTTGGCCTTGTGGATGCAGGTGACCTTCTTGCGCGAGTTGGCGAGGGCAAAGTTGAAGGCAAACTTGGCGATGCGCTCCGACTTGGCGCGCGTGATAATCTTGAGCGACTCGACGACGCCGGGGACGGACTGGTGCTCGAGGCCCGAGTACTCGCCCTCGGTGTTCTCACGGATGATGCAGAGATCGACGTTGTTGTGGCGGGTCTGGTAGCCGGGGATGTTCTTGATGAGGCAGATGGAGGCGTAAATGTCGAGCTCCTGGCGCATGGCGACGTTGAAGGACTGGTGGCCGGAGCGCGAGATGGGGGTGTGCAGGATGCCCTTGAGGCCGAGCTTGTTGCGGCGGAGGGAGGAGACGGACTCGCGGAAGAGATCCTCGGTGCGGCCCGACGAGGCGTCAACACCGGTCACGTCGACCTGCTCCCACTCGACGGGGACGTTGTCGGCCTTGAAGATGGTCTTGACGCTCTCGGCGACCTCGGCACCGATACCATCACCGGGGATGAGGGTGACGGTGTACTTGCCGCCAAACTTGGTGGGCTTGAAGATGTCGGACTGGATGGTCGCGTAGGCAGCGCGGGCGCCGCCGGGGATGATGGGGCCGGCGGTGGCGGAGCGCAGGAGCTGGAGGGCAAGTCAGCATCAGCATCAGCATGAGGGCTTTGTTGATGGCACGGTAGCAGTGCCGTGTCGTGTCCTGCGATCGAAGCTTTTGCTGGCAGCATCTTCGGTTTTGCTCCCCGCCTCGGTCTACGAGCGAGCGAGGGACCGACGAGCACACGAGCCAATTGAGCGGCGGGAAAGGGAGCAGCACGTACCTGCGCGGTGGTGGCGGATCCTCGAGACAGCATTGTGACGGATGTGATGGTTTTCTCGACTGCGTAGGGAGGTGTGTCGCGAAAGCAAGAGGTCGTGGTCAAGGTCGAGGTCGAAGTCGAGGTCGAAGTCGAGGTGGCAGGCAGGCTGGTTTCGGGAACAGGACGAAGAGAAACAAAAAAGAGTGGATTGGATCGGGTCAAGTTGGAACCTGTAGAAGGCTGAAATGCCGCAAAAGCACTGGACCGAAGCCCCAGCGGTAGCCGGCGCGTGCCTGCCATTGGTGCGACGCCCTCTCGGCCGACCCCGCCTGCGAGCTCGGCTTCCGAGCCACGCGATCCGATGTTCACCCGTCGCCGACTTTGCCGAGCGGGTCTTTCTTCACAATGCTATCAGCCTTGTCGAAGTGAAGCTCTGCACTATGACGAGCAATACTGAGCATTGTTCTTCCGACAAGACGAAGGAATACGTGCACGATGACGAACAATCTTTGACCATGTCAACATGTATTTCCTATGTGTGTGTGTAGGTACTCATGATCCCCCGACGCGAGATCATCGACCATCACTCGTTGCACAGTATTCCCTTCGTCTTGTCTGAAGAACGCAATGGTCAACCTTGTTGGTTCACCTCATCAGTCAAATGGTTCACCTCACCGGTCAAATGGTTCACCCCATCGGTCAAAAATCAGGATCGGCCAGAATGGCTCGCCAATACTTCGAGTCATCACCAATAGTCCATCTCATCTACGTCCCTGAGTCCTCTTGGTGGTTCAGCGTTTTATTCCCATTTCTCGACCAATCTCCCGCAGTATAACATCATGCCCTCAACGGTCACGCCGACCCCTCGTAGATGTGACTGACACCGCCATCTCAATGACCAACATTGATTCCTGTGGACAACCATTGAATCGTGATTGTGATTCTATGGCACTCGTTCCCTTGCTCATCTGCCCATTGATGTCAGCATCCTTCTGGAGCACCCATCAGTTGGGTACGAGCGGAAATACGAGTGAAAGGGGGGAACCGAGTAACCTTGAAGGAGCAATGTACAAAAGCCGGGAAGACGGCTAGAATGGAGGGCATAGCGCTGAGGAGTACTTCAGGACGGGTTATACATTATCCTGCTTTCTACAAGCTATCCCTCATTCTATCCCTCATTCGTTGCTACATCCAGCCCCAAAAAGAGGCCCGCCATAGGAGAGGGATGGGGAATACACGTTTCGTCGAACGCTGGGACACCAATAGAGGTCGGTCAAACCGTCACAGCGTTTCAAATTCAGACGGATAAATGTACTACAGGACCCTTGAGAGCCTGTGGGGGTGGCGACGGGCACCTACAATCAACATAGGACGTACAGAGAACAGGGCTAAGCGTCAAAAGAGACTCCTCATGCAGATGACTAGTGCCTCGTAGTCAGAGCAAGATATTAATTCGTCTGCTCAAAGAACTCAATGAAAGACCCCTCAGAAATTGCTGCCCGTCCTTATTCGTCGAGAAACCAGTGCGAGGTTTTCCGTAGAAAATCTCATGCTGAGTCAAAATTCGTCACGATGCTCATGCATGGTTTTCCAAGAGTGGATGCTTGTATACGAATCATCATCTCGTTAGAGGTCTACCTCTTCCAAGTCAGGAGCATGTGAAGAGGCTCTATATTGAGACCGCGCCGAAGCCTATGAAAGCTGACCTGGACCTATATCTCGTATCCCACATTTCGGCTCAGGGAGACTGTCAGAGCATGGGCTTGAGCAGAGTCAAGAGGTCTTCCATACTAGGTCCACAGGCAATGGATTTTAGGTAGGGGGGAGAACATCTAAAGTTCTAGCCTCCGCAGTCCACATGTTTACGTTCTCTCGGTATCTGGCTCCTGAGTAGCCTGCTCGGTGGCTCTGCATCGGCCTCCTGACAGAGACTGATGGCTTGGAAACAAGCGTGATGCTGACGGCAAAACTTCATGATATATGCACGAGTATAATCGGGCAATCTTCATAACAGCAGAGTAAAGAAACGGCGGATCGGCACAACAGTCTAAGGAAGGGAAGGAGTGAAAGACCACTGGTCGATTCGCTGGTACGCAAATCTTGTCGCTCCCTTCATGGGCAAAACCACCAGATTCGCAGACGTCACCTCTTAAAACGGCCTCCATGTCTGCACTGGGCCTCCATGTTTGCACTGGGCCCCCCATTTCTAGCCCGATGAGTGAAACCACTCCGTCGTGGTATCGTAGGCACGACTCAACGAAACCGCACATCCAACACCACCAGGCGAGCGAACCCACACTACGCCCTCCACCCCCTGACCACCTCCGCCAGCGTCTCGTCACCGCCAACGTTGCCCGGAAACACGACAAACGGCACGCCCGGCCACTTGCCGCCGCCTTCGACACACCGCCACAGCGGCACCCCGGCCGCCGCCTGCCCGACGACGCGCGCCCGCCGCATGCCGAGCCCCCTGCCCGCCATGTCCGAGCTCGTAATGCCCCCCTTGGCCACGACGTACCGCGGCCGCGTCGCGAGCCCGCGCAGCACGTCGACGAGCGCCGAAGCGACGACGGCCCCAATGTCGAGGCTCGCGGCCTCGTCGGCGCCGACGACCAGCCCCCGCGACGTCATGACGAGCGTGTCACGCCCGCCCGCGACCGACGCCTCGGGCCGCCGCCACGACGCGCGCCGTTCTCCTGACACCGCGACGCCGCCGACGCGAGCAGCGCCGCAACGTCGACCTGGACGGTCGTGAGCGCGGCGCCCGGCGTCGCGCTGGAGGTGTTCGAGCTGCTTCGTCGTCTTGGGCACGTAGGACCCGGCCATGATGAGGCCGCCCGCCGGCGGCGACAGACGACGAAGACGCGGCGTCCGAGTCGCCCAGCTGGAGCTGCGCCGCCGTGATGGGCGCGATGGGCTTGATGCCGAGCCGCGCCGACACGAACGCGGCGCCCGTGCGGTAGAGAAAGCGTCGCGGCCTGTGGCCGGCCTGCGCACCGCCGGCGTCTGTCGACGCAGCGCGCAGCAGCGCCGCGACGACAACGTCGACATCC